ATTGACTCGAAAATATCAAATACAGGTCCGTTGAATGCCTTTGGTTCTAATATTGGATAATCTCTTTGGTATCATTAATCAAATTTTATATTTTTTTTACAAAGTACCAGTTTTGATAATTACTGCTTTATAGAATAACTTGAAATCTGACAGTATAAATTCTCCTTCTACCTTTTCATAATTCATCGTTATTCTTTTTTTTTTTTTTGTAACCGCTATGTCTTTTGTTTAATGATTTTGAAGAAACGTTTGACTCTGGATTTTAAAATGCAGTCTCAAAGGCTGTCCTCAAATATGTTTCCTACATATTCTTGTTATTTATCCTTCATTTTCTTTTTATTTAATTGTCAATTTATTTGTTTTTAGTTTTCAACATTCACTTCCACAAGATTTTGAATTCCAAATTTTCTCCCTATCTCATCCCTCTCCCCACCCCAGGATGGCATGCATTCTAAATACCCCTTCCCCTAATCTGCCCTCCCTTCTACCTCTCCCCCACTTCTCTTAACCCCTTCTCCTTCAATTTTCCTGTAGGGCAGGATAGATTTCTATAACCCATTTCCTGGATATCTTATTTCCCAGTTGCATGTGAAAACAATTTTTTTTTAACATTTGTTTTTAAAACTTTGGGTTCCACATTTTCTCCCTCCCTCTTTCCCCACCTATCCTCATTGAGAAGACAAGCAACTCGATACAGGTTATACATCATCATGTTATTCTTATGTGATTATTCCTCCCTTTGAATTTTATAATTTTATCTAGTTCTATTTTTTAGCCCATTGGCATTTTGATTAGTATTACATTAAATCTATAAAGTAATTTTTTTTAGGACTTTTGCCATTTTTATTACATTGGCTTGACACGATCATATGCATATATTAGATATCCCTCCAAAATATTGAAGTCAATCAATCAACAAATATTTATTAAACACCTACTATACATGCCAAGCTATGGGGACACATATTCAATGAATCAAATCAATCATTACATGGAGGTTACAGTACAATGGGAGAGACAACAGTTATATACATACATATATACATATATATATATATAATATATATATATATATATATATGAACAGATATGTATATGTGCACATAGACAATGGGAATGATAACAAATATAAAGAGAATGAGTACAAACAAAAAATTGTTAAATACAAAATAATTTGGCAAGAAGGGTGCTAGTAGTTGATCAGGAATCAGGATCAGGAAAAGCTTCATGTAGAAGGTGGTGTTTGAGAAGCATCTTGAAGGAAGAGATGGATTCTGTGAGAGAGAGGAGAGAAGTGTGTATGCTAGGCATGGGAGATAGCCTGAGCAAAGGCACAGAGATGGGAAATAGTTTTTATTTCACTTAAAGTTGTTTTTATGGATGTCTTTATGTAGATCTTGTATAGAATTTGGTAGCTTCCTTCCTAAGTATTTGATGTTGTTAGATTTTAATCATTATTTAAAGTAATTTTTCTTCTTATATAAGTGTATTATAGGTTTTATTAGTGATTATAAAACTGATCAGGTGGCTCCACTTTTTCTTTTCTCATTCTCTAATGAACTCTCTACAGTCTGGCTTTTGACCTCATCATTACACTGAAACTGCTTTCTCTAAAGTTACCAATGATCTCCTAATTACTAAATCCAATGGCCTTTTCCCAATCATCCTTCTTGACTTCTCTGAAGACTTTGCCACTATTGATCACTCTCTTCTTGATATTCTCTTCTCTCTATGTTTTTGGGACACTACTTTCTCCTGGTCCTCCTCCTATCAACTGACTGCTCCTTCTTAGTATCCTTTATAGATCTGCATCTGAGTGAGGCCAGATAATCATTAATATCTTACAGGGCTTGTCCTCACTTACCAGAGAGCCCTTATCCTTGGCATCTTCCTCTCTCTTTGACTACCTCTGCCTCTTAATTTCCTTAGCTTTCTCCAAAACTCAAGTCTTATCTTCTGCTGGAGGCCTTTTCCATCTCCACTTCCCTCCTCTGCACTAGCACCTTTCCATTTCGATTACCTTCTGCCTCCTCTATATGTAGGTACCTAATTATTTGCATGTTGTCTCCCTGTTATAATGCAAAGCCCTTCAGGACAAAATGATTTTTGCCTTTCTTTGTAGCTTTAGCATTTAGTTTAGTAGTGTGCACTTAAATACTTGTTGACCCACTGACAGTATTGTATGTGTTTTTCCTTTCTTTTACAGAAGCTAGCACAAATTCCTAGTCCCAGGAGAGAAAGAAAAAATAGGTTTCAAAGTCCTTCAAGGAATGAGCCTTGTGCTTTTAAATTACAATTGCATTGCAAATATAAGCCAATTATACACTGTACTGATCCAGCTGCTAATGATATTAACTTCTTTTAATGATACCCACTTTACAATAGAGACATGACTATCCAGAAGTATTTTTCACTGTTTTGATTGGCAATACTTTGCCAGAAAAGAAATTTCTTTGAAATAAATGGTTTTATTTAGATGGCATGTTAAAATATTTGTTAGTTTAAAAAATTTACTAGTATGGTTTTAGGGATGGATAATTGGTAGGTATCAGCATGGTTTGGAGGAGTAGACAAAGTTGAAACAAGAAATGAAGGCAGTGAGTTGGTGTCCTGTCTTTAGTGCTGCTAAATGTAGATTATAGGGATGCTAAGATGTAAATGTCAAAGGCTTGCTTACATAAGGCTCTCTGGAGCCCCAGAAAACCCTAGGATGTAATGATGGTCATCCTAGTACCATTATCCTCATTGATTTCTAAGTAGAGGACCCTATGAGATATAGCTCTTTGGGTTGCTTTGGATCCTGAGAAACTTCTTAAAATTCTGCTTTTCAGCATCTTTAGTGAGTCTTTCTCATTCCACCAAATGAGGCAGGCATGAAGTTTGATAATAACTAAACAAAACACTGTCAGGCACCACTGACTTGTCTGTCTCTTATAATCTCATTCTCAGGGCCTGGTGGCTTAAAACAAACTCAGAGAGAGGTTCAGAATACCAGTACTCCTATACAAGGAAACATGGAACTCACAACAAAGATAGTAAAGCTAGCCAGTTGACAGGAGATTTAAAACAAACTACAATGCAAACAGATATGGGGGAATTGGGTATTTTGTTGGGGTCCCAGAGGGAATAGGGCACTCCTCAACCAGTAAGGTCTCATGGGATTTTGTAGGGTTCTTATCTGGATCCAGCAAGACTAGACATCGGGTGCGGAGAGCAAAGAGGCTGGGGACTAGTTGGGGGGAGAAAAGACTCCTGGGGCTAGTTGATATTCAAACTACCCATTGGTGAGGAAAGGGTGTTTGGGCTACTGCTGCTGGTCTTACTCTAACAGGGTGACTTAGCTTCCATGTCAGATGTGTGCGAGCTTCTCTGGGGTGAAGGGGTCGGTGGAGCCACTGTATTCCTTGCACTTGAAGACCATAAGGTATCTTTCTTTTTGCCAATTTGCATTGTGACATTCTAAAGTTACTGACATAACCTTCTTTTCCTCAGTGCCTTTGGAAATCGTGGGTACTATGATTCAGGCAGAGAAGTCGTTTTGGGGTTAGCTGTATTCTATCCACATAGTTTAGAAGAAAGAGCCCTGGCCCAGGGGATTAGGATATTTAGTCCTTGCTTTGGCTCTGCTGTGGCTTAGGTTGGCCAAGTCACTTCTGATCTTTTGGGACTCAGAGGTTGAACCTCTGAGGTCCTTTCCAGCTCTAACATGCTCAGATTCTAAGGTACAGATTCAGTTTTTAGATTTGAATACTGTTGAATTTTTCAGGAGGTCATTCCTTAAATCTCCTCTCCCTATTACTCCAGACATTTTTCTTCTCTCTCTACTTGATAGCTTTAAGGGGGGAAAATCTAAAACCATTAACACAATGTTCCTCCCATGAGGCACTTTTTTTCTTTCTTAGGTCCTTTAGTTTGCTTTGAGTCACAGAGTTCTCAAAATTGTGGGACTTGGCTATAAGTCCCTACCATCATCAACATTATTAGCAGTGTCAAGAAATATTTTGATTGCTCACATGACCCATATTCAAGACAATTAAATAATTCAAGAAAGGGGAAATAATAGTAGAGGCCATCGAGCTAGAGAAGATCTTGAAGGGCATGATAATGAAAACCTTCATTGACTCAGCTCTTTGGGGGTTTTTATTTGCATTGTTTTATCCACTCAGGATCTAAGTATTTTTAAAAATTGATTTTTCTTCTATTATTAATACTAGGTATTTCAAATATATTTTTCAGAGAAGATGAGTGGTTGTTCCTATTTTCCTATGTTTTAGGATTTAGAACTGGTGGCAGGGACCTTAGAGATTGTTTAGAGTCTAGACCAACACTTCCATTTTGAAATGGCTTGACCAAGGAGGCTGAGTGGCAGAGCTAGTACTCAAACCTGAGTCCAGAGCCCCAGTCTAGTGTTTTTTTTTTCCCCATGACACCATGTAGTCTCCTTTTGAAGGTCACGCTTTTGAATGTTGTACTTGAGTTCATAGCCTTAAGTAACAGTTTGAATGAATTTAATTTATTAGTACCCACCATTAAACCTTTTCCTCTAACTAGTAACTGCTTTAACCCTTTGTGGATAGGCCACTGGACACAGAGTGGGAAAGACTTAAGTCGCTAGCTGTGTCATCCTAGGCAAGTTACTTATTCTTTCTATGCCTTAGTTTCTTCATCCATAAAATGAGGGACTCATTGACTCATAGGAACTCATAAACTCATAGACTCAATGACTTTTAAGGTCCTCTTAGTAAATTGTTTTCTCAGTAGATTAATTGCCATGGCTAAAAAAAATTCAGTACCCTTTTATTAAGCTTCTGCTGGTGATGACTCTCTCTGAATTGAGTTAGGTTGATTGAATTGCCAATAAAGAGTCTACTCCTGTCTTCCAAAAATGTAATCTTTCCTGCTTGGTAGGAACTTCCAGAGCTTGAAGCCTTCAAGCATCTACAGTTGGGTATCTGAGGAGAAATTAATGGAGTAATTAATTTTTCTTCTTTTCTTTTTAGGCGCCATCGTTGCCCACATATTCCTACCAAGATTTATGAACAATCAGAAAGCAAATGCCATCTTTCAGAGTACACAGAGAATTATGGTATTCATCAGTGTTATCATCCAAGAGAATCCTTCAAGCCCAAGTTAGAATATCAAAAAGGGTCTGTACCAATGGAAGGCGTCTCTACGTCAAAGTAAGACAATATAAATATCTTTTTATAGAGGGGGAGAAATAATAATTTATACTGGGATTATTCTTATGAAATGTCCTTATGGGATTCTACCTGTTACTAGAGAACTCTCACCTCTAACATCCCTAATCTTTTAAGATGAGTTGGAAGTTGGTCAGATTTCCTAGTTGTCTTTAGCTATAATAATATCTCCTGAGAGAAACCTGCTCAAAAAATGGGGAATATGCTTTAAAGGATGGGTTTGTAGAGGTTCTAATAATAATCTACTAAACAAAAAAAGGCCCAATAGGGCATTAAAGTTTTCAAGTGGTCTGGGTAGCAAAGGACCAGATTTCCTGGTAAGGCAGAACAGTCCTAAGCTGGACTTCCTGTTTCCATTTGGAGGAGTGTCCTGAAAATGTCCTGTGTCAAAGTCTGCTTTTTTATAGGTTGGAAGTATAGCAAACTTTCTGAAAGAATTTTGGCTAAAAAAACTGTTGCTTTCACAACGTATTTTCCCTATGTAGATTCAAAAGTGGAAGATCAGACAAATGAGGCAGGAGGAAATATGGTCTGCTGAAGCCATGCAGTGTAATGTGGTAGTTGAGGCATTCCATTGAGAGTTGAACCTGGGTTCTAATCTTGGCTGTAAGAGTCTAGGCAATTTTCTGAATCTCAATTTCTTCTTCTGTAAAGTGAGGATAAAATTTATATTATCTGATTCACAGAGCTTTTATGAGGAAAGTATATTGTAAACTTTAAAGTGCTGTGTGTGCATTATTATTGTGATAATTCTGGAACGGGAGATAGACATCAAAACTATAAGACATTTTGGGGATGGGAAGAGAACAGCACCCCAATCAGAGCAGTTCCAGGGGTTATCAAGAAAATGAAGGGAGATTACCCTGCTTAAGATAATTTTGAATTTGGTTACTTTCAATTTGTTTTCATAAATTATTTGAGCATTGGATTGAGAATATTCAACTGTGTTTGTAAACATTTAGTGACAACTAATTTTAGTGGCCCTTCTTTGGCCTTAGATCAATTGATAGAATAATTAGCAGAGGCAGAACTCTGTTTTTCAAGGATGCCATAATTGATTCAATCCAAAAAATAATGATTAAGCAGAAGGCACGGGGGACTGGTAAAAGTGAAAAATAGTTCCTGTTTGCAGGAAGATTATATCCTATTAAAGGGTATTATATACAAGCAGCTAAGTCACTGATATCTGCGGACACCTAGATGACTCAGTGGATAGAGTGCCAGGCCTGGAGTCAAGAGGACCTGAGTTCAAATCTGGCTTCAGACAAGTCACTTAACCCATTTGCCTTGATTTCCTCATCTTTAAAAAGAGCTGGAGAAGGAAATGGCAAACTACTCCAGTATTCTTGGCAAGAAAACCACAAATGAGGTCATGAAGAGTTGAACGTGACTGAAATGACCCAACAAGAACAACGACAACTGATATCTGGAGGAGGGAGAGAATACTAATAATGTTATTTCTGGAGGAATCAGGAAAGGCATGCTTAGGAGTGAGCATTTGAGTTGAATCTTGAAGGTACGCATCCTAAGAAGTGACAGGGAGGAGAGAGAACATTTTAGGGTTGGGCAATAGTTTATAAAAGGTAGGAGATGGAATCCCGAATTGGGTGACCAGCATGTAGGCCAACTTAGTTACATGTCGGGATGTAATATGGACTAAATCTGGAAAGGTAGGCTGGAATCTGATGGTGTAGGACTTTTAAATGTCAAGCTAAGGGCTTTGTATTTTGCCTTAGGGGTATTAAGTAGCCACAGAAGCTTCTTGAGGGGCGTTGTGGTTTAGTTGGGAGAGTGGTCAGACCACATCTACACAAGTGCGTTCAGTTATGGGAGCCGCACTGAGGGAGGATGTTGGTTAAGTTAGACAGCGTTCAGAGGACCAGCCACTAGAATGGTGAACTGTTTTGAGAGTATGTCACATGAAGATCTGGGGATGTTGAGCTAAAAGGTAAATTTAGTCTTGACATGAAGAAAAACTTCTTAACTATAAGAACTATCTGGAAATGGAATTTATTACTTTGTAGATAAGGAAACTGAGGCTCAGAGAGCTTAAGTGATTTGCCTGGGTTCATATAACTAGTAAGTGTTGGAGGCAAGATTTGAATCCAGATCTCACTTGCTCCAAGTTTAAGACTCATAGGATTGCAGGTTCATAGAATTTAAGGGTTGAAAAGGGACCTCAGTAGCCAAGTCGTTCAACCCATGATTAAAAAGGGGTGCCTCCTACAGTATTACAGACAAAGGGTCATCGGGCCCTTACCTGGAACACCTTCAAGGAGTAAGAGCCTCGAAAGCAACCCATTGGGGAAAGAAGACCAATTTGGAGCCCATTTGCAATAGTTCGGATGAGATGATGAGTACCTAATGTAGGATGGTGGTCATGGGAGAGCAGAGTAGGGATGAATAAGTATGTGCCACAGCTGGTTAACAATGAACATTTGGCAGAGGTGCTGGCTTCTGTTGGACTAGAGTCCCCAGTCCTTGGTCCTCGAGGCACTGCTGCTGGTTGGGCTCCAATAGCCTCCCTGGGCTTGGGACGTCCAGATTCCTTGGATGCTGGCCAAGACTGGAAACTCCATTCTGTGTTCCTAGAGTGGAAGAGAAAGAATGAAAAGGCCAAAAACCCAGGCCCATTTCTCTGGGGCCACCTGGTCTCAGATTGGGCGGCAGAAGGGAAGGAAACCCTAAAGCTCTCCCACCTCACCTACTACACGGTCTTACCAGCTACAAATGAATGCATGAATGAAGTGTTTATGGAGTGCTTACTATGGTGAAGCACTGCGCTGAGTGCTGGGAATACAAAGAGAAAAGCAAGACAGTCCTTGCTTTAAAGAACCCCCCATTCTGTTGGGTTGACAACACATATAGAATGCTGCAGCCAAAAGTCAATTGGAGAGATCCCATGTTCCTTAGTAGCAGTAGCAGTAGCAAAGCCCATGGTAACCAGAGTCACCTTACTCCCCTAGACAGGAATGCAGCAAAGCCTCAGCTGATGCTGAATCAGGCTATTTTGAAGCCTCTAAGAGTTCTAGCTCTGAAGCCTATGGAATGTCTCCTTCCAGCTACTTGGTAGGTCAACACTGAGTGACCATGCATGTTCCAGTCCTCATGATTCTCCCAGAAGCAGTTCATAGCCTCTTCACATGGACAGATGCTATCTTTGGTGGTTTGGGCATGTACCAGGTCTCTATTACATAGGGACTGAGGGTGAGGTTGAGTCAAAGATATCTCTGAGGCTATGAGACTAAGTGACAAGAGACTAGTTAGGTATCCAATACATCCTCACAGAATTGCAGCCCATTGTAACTAGAAGTAGATAATTTAGTGCCATCAGGTTATAGATGAGGAAACTGATTCCCTAAAAGGGGAAGTGACTTGTGATGCTGTGCACTCACAGTCAGTGGCAAAGCTGAGACCAGAATGATTGATCCTCAGGGCAGGGCTCTATCCGCCATGCAGTGGAGTAATTGTTCCAACCAGGGAAATGGAAAATTAAGGCAGACGTAGGTTTGCTTATTAAAATTTGAAAAATATATATTTTCAATTAATGAGCATTTATTTTCTCTCCCTCTCACCTCCCCCTCTTCATGGGGGAAAATAAAGGAAAATAAAACCCTTATATAACAAATATGCATTTGTAGTTAAGCAAAACACATCCATACCGGCCAGCCGTATCCAAAAATGTATGTTTCATTTTGCATCTCTGTCAGGAGATGGGGTAGCATGATTTAGTTTTCAGTTTCTTTAGGAAAAGATTTATCTCTCAGTGTATCTGGCATCCAGTGGAGGGTTGGGTGGATTAGAGGCCCTGCAAGAATTTCTTTCCACTGCCTTATTCACTTTCCACCCCAACACACACACAAGTACTTAATTGCCCACGTCACTTAATTCTGCTGGGTCTCATTTTCCTCATCTCTAAAATGAGAAAGTTGAACTAGATAATTTCTAAAGTCTTTTCTACTCATAAGTCTTATTTATAGAGCATGTATAAAGCACCTAGTATGTGCCAAGCACTGTGCTAAATCCCAGGGCTACAAATACAAGCAAACAAGATAGTTCCTTGTGCTCAAGGAGATTTTATTCTAATGAGGGAAGACAGCACACAAAGAGGAACTGGAAAGGAGATGAGGAAGGGTACCTAGGAGATAGCAAGGAGGCTTTTGAGGAGGATGGGAAGGTCCTGAGAGTGAGATGTAAATGAGGTGAGGTGTGGTTGGAGCTTTCTGGAATGATGCCCCTTCTAGAAAAGGAGTCGCCAATAAGGACAGCAGGGCTTCGGGGTCGAGGTTTCTCTGTGGTGGGATGTCAGCTATTGAGGAGACTACCAGAGTGTGAGTCAATCATATGCTTCTGTGATCTAGGTCTTATCATTTCTAAAATCAAACCCAGCCCTCAGACCTGAAACCATGGGTCCCTTAAACCCAGCTGAGTCAGAAGCCATGATCCTTACCCTCAAAAGAAGGGGTTTGTGAGAGAGAGGAAGCAAAAAGGAAGTTTTATGTGTTGGTTAGAAGTGGCAACTCAGCTTGCTCCTTCATATTCTTTTTCTTCTTGTTCTTGTGAAGACTTCCTTTGTTTATTTAGCATCTTTCTTCTCTTATCCCTCTGGATGAAGAAGCTTCTCCAAGGGATCTTGCCAGCCAAACCTAGTTATATGGAGTCATAAAAAGTTGGGAAAAAAACCAACCTTTTCCCGGAGATATAGCCACTGGGACATGTACTGGAGTTGAATATCTGAACAGAAGTCATTCTAAATAGTCTAGGGAGTCCTGGGGATGTTGGTGGGGAGGGAGAAGGAGGGGAATCTTTTCCTTGGAATGTTAGAGGAGGCAGATGTTACCAATCATGTGGCATCTCAGAGATCACTAAAAATGAGAGTTCTAATTGTATTTAAAATTTCAGCTAACAAATGAACTATGCAAATATCAGTTGGAAGCATGCAACCCAGAATTCATAATGCCTGCCCTGGAAATTCAGAAAAT